AACATGAACATGGTGAAGACATGAACATGGTGAAGACGTCAACATGGTGAAGACGTGAACATGGGGAAGACGTGAACATGTGGAAGACGTGAATATGGTGAAGACGTGAACATGGTGAAGATGTGAACATGGTGAAGACATGAACATGGTGAAGACATGCCACACTGGTCTAAGTCCACACTCCTGTGGACCTTAACTTAATCCCAAATAATGTGTGCACCTGTGGTCACAGGAACATCAAGCTGCTTGGAGATGCTCCTATACTGTTGACACGCTTGTCAATCATTTTCTTTTGAAGATCCTGATCCAACTCTGTCCTAATCTTCCTGTGGTCCATGTCCAGTGTGTTACACACCATGGTCCCAAACAGCACAGTGACTACCTTTCATCCTCTGAGTATTCAGACTGATGTCAAGAAGACACACGTGGTGTTGGTGACAGGACACGTCTCAGGTTAACATGTCCCTGTGGTCCAGTTATTCTACATCATTTCTAGGGGTAAAATCCTTTTGTCTTCAGGATAAATAAGTACTTTTCTTTCAAATTCTGTTGAACCACAATTCAAAACAAACAGACCACAGTTAGTGAGGATCCACAACCTCTCCTCCTCCACCATAACCCTCAGCACTGGCTCTCCTCAGGGATGTGTGTTGAGCCCCCTTCTGTTTACTCTGCTCATGTATGATTGTGCAGCTACCCATCCAGGCTGTCACATTGTAAAGTTTGCAGATGATACAGCGGTGGTGGGATGCATCACAAACAATGATGAGTCCAGCTACAGGCAAGAGGTGGAACACCTGGAGAGCTGGTGCAGAGAGAATAACCTTCACATCAATGTGAAGAAGACAAAGGAGATGATTGTGGACTTCAGAAGGAACAAAAACACCTACACCCCCCTGAACATAAGAGGATCTGCGGTGGAAGTGGTCTCCAGCTACAAGTACTTGGGTGTGCACCTGAACAACAACCTCAGCTGGAGCAACAACACCACCAGCCTGATCAAGAAAGCTCATCAGAGACTCTACTTCCTCAGACGGCTGAGACGAGCTGGTCTGGAAGCTCAGTCCTCACCTCCTTCTACAGGTGTGCAGTGGAGAGCATCCTGTGCTCGAGCATCAACGTGTGGCATGGAGGCTGCACAGCTGCAGAAAGAAAAGCTTTGCAGAGAGTGGTGAAGGCTGCACAGAAGATGTTGGAGTCAGCCTCCCCACCATCACAAACATCTACACCTCCAGATGCAGGAAGAGGGCTACCTGCATCATGAAGGACCACACTCACCCAGCACACACACTTTTTGCCCCACTCCCCTCAGGAAGGAGGTTGAGGAGCATTAAGTGTAGAACCACTAGACTGAGGAACAGCTTCTACCCTGAGGCTGTTAGACTCATGAATCTCTAACTAGAATAATCACTGTGAAAAACCATATCATGTTGCTGCTGATCTGTTTCATGTTGCTGCTGATCTGTTTCAATGTTGATGTGTTCATGCGTGCACATCTGCTCACAGACTCATGTTCATGTTTGTGCTGATGTTCAATGTTTTATGTTATGAGTGCTTAGTGTATATTTAGTTGATGTTTTTCTTAGTTCATATCTTAGAAGTTATTACTGTTTTTCTTATACATTTTATTGTTGGATGTAACTGGGACCCTGTGGACATAATTTCGCTCCACCACATGTACCACATGAGGTGCGAATGACAATAAAGAAACTCTGACTCTGACTCTGACTCAAAAGCAACAATCACTTTTATTAGTTGATTTTCTGTATTATCGTTTTTTACTTTTGCCAGTTTCAAGTCATTTCAGTGATCATTGTGTGTTTCTCATTATTCAACCAACAGATCCATGACTGTAATTAACCTGCTCATAGATAATTGTACTCACATCCTGTGGTATGTGCTCATGGCTCACTGCTCCGTGTGATGTGTTAATTGCACCTGTATGGTGTCCTATAACCAGCTGAAAGCTCTGTTTATGGTTATCAATCAACCAACTACACAAGTTGTAGCAGCTTGGGCTCTTGGTCGGGCGCCAGCATGCTATTGGCTGGCTGGCAGTGAGGTGGAACGGAGATGAGTGACAGCTAACGAGGACGAGCGGCCGGACCACTGACAAGTCAACAACCTTTGCCTTTATTCATCTCACTTGTGTGGATGTCTTTAAATGCAGCTGCTCAGAGCTGACGTTTAACATGTTTATTCAAGGTAATAAAAAGTTCCATAATGCACATTTTCTGAGATGACCATGAAAAGTTGTGCAAAGTACCGTTCTTGCATTCAGGAATGCATATCGCCCGCCAGCTTTCATGCTAGACTTTGAAGTTAAAATCTTATTTTAAGACAAAAAAATGTCTGAATTGGAATCATTTTGGTGAAAATTTCCAAATAAATATAAGATTTGATCTCACAGAATGAGTTAGAATGACCCTCAGCTGTTAACATATTTAACTTTAGCTCAATATCTAAATATCACAAAGCAATAAATGGATCTTACAAGTGATTAATTTTCATAATGTAGCTGGACCCTGACATGGACTTGCAACCAGTCCAGAGTGTGCCCCCCCACACACACAGTGATGGCTGCATGGTCACCAGTGACCCCCGCACCCAAAAAGGAAGAAGCGAGTGAAGATGATGAATGGATGGATGGATAATGTTGCTGCTTTTGTTTCATTGTTTTACATAATTTCTTTATTTACTTTAAATTGTACATGTTTTTTATATGATTGTCTGTTGTTGTCTGTACCTCACGTGTCCTTTGTTTAAGTCAGCTCTCTCTCGTTAATGAGTCCTCGAGGCTCAGTGAGACTAACCTGTTGAAATAAAGGTTGAATAAATACTTGTTTTTTAAAGTCACCCCTTGCTCAGGATGGGAGACTGCAACGAAGCCAAGATTCAACTTGTCTGCTGGATTCCTTAGAGAGAGAACTTTACTAACTGGCTTTTATGTTTTTGAATGTTCCTGTAAAGTTCCTGACACAACTTTGTTGTGATTTGGTGATTTATTATTAAACTGAACTGAACCCCAATTTAAGATGGCTACCACAGCTAATCAACAATACATCACATAAATAACGACTTACTAGGCCTGTCACGATAATACATGTTGCTGGGCGATTAGAAATTATTGCGATAAACGATAATATTGCTTGAACTTTGACAATAATTATATTATTGTCAAATTTAAGAAGAAATGTTGGTTACTTTTTGTGTATAGTACTTTTTTTGACCACCGGATGGCAGTATAAGACTGTTTGAACCGAAGGATGGATAGTGAGGGAGTGAGCAGCGTGTCTCTTTAAGAACAATGGGAGGGAGGCCCCTTGACGTGACATGGGCTGTCGTTCCTGTTTCTTGGTTCCCAAAATGGTGGACACTTGATGTGGTTTGAGCTCTTTAGCATTTGTCACACAAAGCTTTTAATAAAAAAAAATAAATAAATAAATCAGTAAACAAGTTCTCATCTTCCAGAGAAAAACAACTTTTTACACGAAGGCACGGGTTTCATCCATGAATTTTGGAGCTTCGACAAGACGGAGCTTTGTCCCCGACGTCGGCCTGTTAGCTTAGCTCGTAGCTTAGCTTCTCAGTTTAGCTGCTTTTAACGATCCAAAACATGATTTTAGACGTTGAAACAGATTTTAAGAGAAAGTGAGGAGTCACTTAAGAGCACCAGAGTTGAATCTTTTGTCATCCAGTGTCTTCAGTAGAAAGAGAGAGATGAAGAAATGATAAAGCCGATAAATG